GCCTGGCACGATATGGTTCATGGGGTCACGAAGAGTCGGACACGACTTAACGATTGAACAAACGAGGCTCAGCTTTTTTGTCAGACTCTAAAAATAATAATTAATGTTAATTAATAAATAACTAGAATAAAATACAATAAAGGAATACATTAGAAAAATGTAAGAGTTTAAGTTTTCACATATCAATAATAATGAATTACCAGTTAGCCTAAGAGTAGATGAGAATACACATTTTCTTAGATCACAAGGTCTTGGAATTAAGAATTATGATTGATGTGCTTCCTCTGTGTGTCAGAACCGAGTAAAGGGAGTTAGTTAGTCCCCACCAGGCTTGAAACTCACTGAAATCACATTGGACCATCCCTTTCTTTCAGCAAAACTTCCTTACTGTGGTGGTGTTAGAATAAAATGGTATGTGACTCAGGGTGCTATTCTGAGCAATTTGAATGAAAAGATGGGATAAAAATGTATTAAAATAAATAACTGGACAAAGATTCCAGAGGATATTCTGCTATTTCTTAACGAAGTTTATATGAGGCTATAGTTTGGAGAATGAAAACAGCCTTTAGTATGGAGTGGTAAGTTACTCAGTGGGCAGAAAAACAAGGCATTTGGCCATTCTGTAGCTTGTTTACCTCTGTTTGGGCTTGGATTATTTAATGTGTTTTGTTAACATTGTTTGCTCTCTTGGGATCTCTACTAAACAACTAGTGGAACAAATGTAAGCTAATGATTCAGATTCCTGAGGTTCTAGTACAGGAATCATCCTAAGAATAGAAATTGTGGTCAGGTTGCACTCGGCTTTGTGTAAATAACATACTAAGTACTTGTTTGCAGTCATTTGTTGCTGGAACTCATAATATTTAATGTAAGGAAGACATTAGGTATTGTAACTGAGAGCACTGTCCAGATGTAATTGTAATAATGTTTTAATTTTTGAACATTTGGGGAGAAAAAGCCTTAGCAAATGCAATGAAGTATTTATATATAGGCAACCAACAGAGACACACACATTCTTCTTTCTCTCTGTT